TAAATGTTAGGATTGGTGGGGTACTTGATCTCCAAGATCTTGATAGCGTTCCCAATCCCTGGTCCAGCCACTGAGATAGTGAACCGTTACGGTGGCAGTTCCGTAGCCCCATTATCGCGATGTAGACTTGCGACCTGTTCAGCGAGTTACAATTAATCATCTCGTCCGTCGTTCTACATAGACATCGAAGGAATAGAAAGGTTTCGTGCAACTTGATATCACATCAGCAGTTCAACGCTGTGTGCCGTCGCTGATTGGGTGTATCCCAGTCGCAGGTCCATTGGAATGTTTGTAAAGCACTCGCGGCGAGTGCAGGCACGTGAAACACTCGCGAGCGAAATGGCCCGAAGAGTCACTGAATCAAATAGCGATAATCAACACGGTAACTTTGTTACGATCACACGCAGACGTCGCCAAGCTGTCTGTTATTATTTATCGCGGATCTGAATCTCGAGGAAGCGTTCCGAGAACGTATCTTCACGATTCGTTCAAAAAAGAAGTTTCAGCGCGATACAAAAATAACGATCCATCCTCGAACGGATTTTCGCGACCTATTTTTAATATTCGATACACGCGCGTATAACGTGCACCGCGCGATAGTTGTACAAGTTTTATTATGTTAAAAAGTTCGCAACGACGTTAAGACTTTCCTTTTTTATCGGATCAAGTTTACGGAGACTCCCCGAGATTGTACACAATGAATATGTGTCCACGGAGAACGCGGGAGCGGAAGTTCATTCCGACGCAACATGTAAACTTTGCTCTCTTCAGTAGCCAATTTGAAACTTTCCCCCGCGAAGAAGTTTCATCCGTGTCAATATTCCGCACGTATCTCGAACCGCCCCGAGTATGTATTCGAGACTAGAACAGTTCCATGGTGATAACCAATTAATTGACGCTGGAGCATTCCACGTTATCTCCAGATCGCTAACGCGGTCCGAAACCTTCACCAAGATTCCCTTGGGGCGGAATTCGGTACTCGTAAACTCGGGGCAGTTCGGAAGTTCCCGTGCGAGGGGCACTTGGAGAGTTCTTCGGAAAACACCGTCAAAATTAAAGACCGGAATTTGCGTGCAGCGTTCATATCCTTTCGTTTCTCGAAACTACAGTCGAGCGTTTGCAAAGGAGATACCATGGACAATGATAATTTCTTTCGGGACTAAAAAAATTGGGTGCGCAGGCTCGCAGCAAGTTGCCTAAACAAAGGAGAAGGGTACTTCCGGCGGAGGTGCCGAAACGATCAAGATCTTCGATTTATCAGATTCAGAGTGACGTTCAACACGATCATGACCCCGGTTCACCGTCCAGCCAGCTCGCACCGAGGCCAGCGACCATAGGATTCGAGAATGTTCTACACTCGCAGGTACGATAAAGAATAATACTAATTAATCTCTAATCGAACGCTATACGTTCTCACGAAGCGCGATAATATTCTAATAATTTTTGAAACAGCCTAATATAGTAATAAATTTACCACGAGACTCAGCCGTGACGGGAACCATAAATTCTGACAGAACGGACTCTCCTCGCCTCACCGCCGACAATCCCGTGAAAAATGGTAAAGCAGTTGATGGAATCGTCGATAACGCGATGGAAGTGGACGCCAAGAGAAACGAAAATTCGTTCATGGGAACCTGCAAGGACTTTCCTCCTGCTTACGTCGCCGTGCCAGGAAACCCAGAGTCGACGCAAATTTGATTCGAACAGTTTGTAGACAATCAAGAATTCCTCGCGAGATAAAAACGAAAAAATACACTCGCTGAATCTCTTCCAGCGTTAACCAAGGCACGTGGAAAAGATTGCACAAGATTGGCTCTTTCAGGCGAAAGGGGTTGAAATTGAGGGCGAACGGGTGCGTTCAGCATCAAGACAATGAGTCAGTTCAAACTCCGCTTACGGTGAAGCAGTTCTTGCCTGATGAACACATAACGGTGCAACAGCGTCCACCCAGCCGCCCCAAATTTAGCTGCTTGCGATTCCTGTCTGTTCTCCGAAGTGATATCTTTGCTCAAGGGGACACGTCTCAGATCCGCTCGAATGGCGAAGCATAAACGTCGGCCCAGCTAACAGAGTTGACACAGGTTTCGCTCCAGCTGTGCTTAAACCAGCGAGAGACATAACGTAGAGGCTTGCACGCGCAGGAGGGAGGAAAATCGAAAGTAGAAAGAACGAAATATTAATATCAATGTTATAAATGTAAGAGCAATCTGTTCGATTAACTTGATTGTATGAAATAATTAAGGTACCCGTTGTGATAGTCGATTTTTTCGAAAGGCTCTGTAAAAACGAAAGTAATTTAATTCAAATAAAGGATGGCTGAATCTAAAGATGACCACAATCGCCCGGGTCTCTGTATAACCGACCTATTTACCGAACGGTGAGTAATCAATCGTGTTGGAGTAAAAACGAAAGTAGGTGAAACGCGGCACAATGGGAGAGCGTAGATGTTGGTCGACTTGAAATTATTTGCGCTACGTCGTTCAATTCTACGCGGAGGTCCGTACTTTGTTTATACTTCGCTCGGCAACAGTGCAAGTCTTAAACCATTTCCCTCGGAATCATCCTTCCTCGGAAATAAAAGTTCTTCCCAACAATAATGTTCGATTCAATAGCAGGGTTCGTATTTTACCGAGATTATTGCAGCACACCCCTCAATTGTTCGTAGCCATAAGTGTGAGAGAAGCTATGCTTTTAAATAGTAAATGATAAATTAAATAGTAATATTAAATTAATATTTCTCAGACGCTTCTCCAGTGTCGATATCAGTCTCGAGCGTGACTCGGTAACATTATAGTTCAATTACTTGATTTATTGCAACGCTCACAGTGCCTCGATCGAGAGAGCCCAATAGAAATTTCATAAACAATGGGACTGACTGTATTAACACATTATTTATCGGGCTATTTAGAAAAAGAATCTTCTACAGTAGCATGTACCAATCTAGGCTGGCAATAATTCCTCCGTACTGTTACTAGGTACATTGAAAGCCAAGTCTGTTTACAAAAACTGAACATTGTAAGTAGACGACCATCAACACAGTAAATAAATTCGAAAAAGTTAAATACTGGAATTGAAAAGCTTATAAATAGGCTCCCGGTAAATAAAGTGTTAAGAGTCTCGTTGCTCGAAAGGTGTAAACGCACTCGAAAACACCTCGAGGATTGAAAAATTGATAATTTCGGTTAAGAGGGGCGGGATGGGCGTTCGCCGTCCAATCATGGGCACTTCCTGCGCCGCGTTCGAGCGTCCCCATCCCTAACCGCGAAGGAGAAAATACAAGAAAACAAAGGGAGCGAGGTGAAACTTTAATCACCGATTCAAACGCGAGAAGACTCGGAGCCGCGTAGACCGAACTAAGGCTGATGCTAGGGTGTCGTCATTGCGCAAGCGCGAGCCATCGACCGGTAGGGCAGTTTGCTCAGGGGCAGAGTGCCTAGCCCATCCTCTCTTCGCCCTTTAGACACTGCCAGGGGCCCTCGGGCCATACCTTTGTGCCTCTTTTAACGTGGTGCGCGAGTAAACGCAGCTTTCCCGCGCACGCATATCGCTCCAGACTCCTCATGTTTCGGTTATTTTCTTCCTTTCCGTAACCCGCGGTCTTCTTCCGCCGCACCCGGATGCTAACCCGGAAATGCGCTTCGTCTGGCCTTTTCTAAGGCCAGGTTTATCTTGGCGTTGCGTCTGTCGCCGTGTCCAGATGAATTACAGGGACAAGGGGTGGATAAGAACGACCCTCGACGCCTTTCTTCTCGATTTTCTTTCATGCAAACGCTCGCCAGACCCGTCACTGCCATCCGAGGTTTTCTCTGTCTTGCCACTACGCTTCGCTCGCTCGATCTTTAATCCTTCGCGATCAGTGGAGGACTTTTGCTCAGACCCGCGTTGTTCGGGGACACCTGGAAGTTGATACTCCGCTCCCTGTTAACCCTGAGAAGACATCTGTCGAGTTTGAATCGCTTCAGGAGTTCAGGAATCGCGAGAGATCACCGCGAGAACTTGACACTTTTTTAAGTTCGAACGGGGCAAGTTTTTAAAGTTACAGATGCCGTTATTTTTCCGTCACATTTTTGTATTTGACACATTGTTGACGGTCACGAGTAAGCTTGTGTTTGCATTCGCGTTATCTATTTCAGAAGTCGCTTCTGTGTAAAATTGCCGGTCAACAATGTGTTAGTTATGAACGGTTGCTTGCCGTCGCAGTAAGTGCTCGAAATAACCTTCGACTCCCGTTACAAGCCTGCGAAGTTTCTGTCATGGAGATCATCGATCTTGGAAACGTTCCAGGTATCTCGTATAATTCGTGGGTAGCCTTCTGGTAAACGTTTTCGAGTATTTAAACGCATGGCAATGGGCGTCGAATAAACAAATGTTTCTAAGTGGCCTCAAAAATAAGAGTCAAGTATTTACGTCTGGGGAACGAGCAGACCAGGCAATATATTCTACATCGTCTTTCCATCTATTTGGAAATCGTTCGTTCAACAGCTGCATGGTTACTCGACTGAAATGGGACGGTGCAACGTCATGCATAAATCACATGCGACGTACAACATCTAACGGTATTTCTAATGATTCGCGCACTCGGTTAATAGCGATTCGTAACCGAGATATATCCTTTTAAATATAAAATAGCGACCCTGAAATGATATGGGCACTTCCCCTTGGAACCAACAAAAAACATCGATACGTTACGTCCCTCGTAAAATCAAAGAGCTTTCGATATCGTTTATCCAGGTAAACTGTTTCAAATGCCCTACCCTGTATATGTACCGATGGTTCAGTTTACGAGATAATCTAATAGAGTAACATATCCTTCGCCCACAATACCTGACCCAAATAAATAATGGTCTTCCCATGCATCAATATCGCGCTAACAAATAGATGATATTTCACCGTTTCTGGTAATGCGATCGTTCCTCTTCTGTGCGATATTTCGCGTTCGTTTATTGTGATTCCTATTCAAGGATCTAAACGATAGAAAATAAAATCTTGTTTATTCCACTGTATCAACGAAGGTATAATTTTAATTATACAATGCCAAAGTAACAGCTCGCGAAAGTTGGAGCACTTACGACGAAAGGTTACTTTCTACCGTGAACAAGGTTCCTCGTGTCGATTATTCAGCCCCGAACAAACGACAATCCATTTTCCCCGCGCTGTTAGTGACACCTTGTGTGCTCGAAAATGCTAAAGGAAGAAGGATGAACGACGCGTAGACCCGAGCAAATATTTGAAATGATTCCTGTGTAAATACAGGGAGCATGCAAACGGGTGGGCTGTCTGTTTAGCGAAATGGTGAAATCTCGATCGTCGTTTACGGAAGTGAAATCGTAAAATGAGGACGATATCGAATTCTCTTGATACGTGAAATACTTGTAAAGTCTGTGAACGGTACGAAACTTGTACGCGAACCCTTGCAGGATAATTGTATTTGGTAAGCCAGAGATTTCGTTAGAATTTTAACGTACAAATAAACCGCGATTTTTCTTAGACAGGCCTACAGTCAATCTCGTAAACATTCGTATTCTCCATGTCTATCGAAGACGATTGACTAAATTAAATAATAGTTTCGATATTACCAAATGAATTTTTCATTATAAATACGTATATGAATAAACTTATACATGTGTATATTTATATAAACTTGGAAGGATCGAACATCGTCGGCGCAAACCGAACGAATATTTTGCTCGACCTAATAAATACCTATAGAACTTTAAATACGCGATGCTACGTACGTAGTTTGTGCATCGCGAAGTCATCCTCGGTTCGGTACACCGTCGTTGCAGATATGCCAGCGAAGCACAGCAAATTTTTCGCCGGATGAGGAACAAGGGTTAACTAGCGTTTCGTGTCGACTTGTAATCGATTAAACGCGGCGTTCCGTGTCGTAAGCTGTCGCGTAGTAAGCCGGATAGCTAGTCGTGAACGGCACCCGTTTCGTCTATAAATGCGGCACAGATCCGCTGGTTGACTTATCGACGAGTTCAGGCGATTTCCATAGACATTCCGGCTGAGTCTACGCGAATCGTTACTGCATCGACCAGACGCAGGTGCTACGAATACCGTCGTTTATACCGCAACAGTGTCAGCGAGGTAAAACTACATTATGCACCGAGTCGATATCCTCTGGATGATCGAGAAGAATTAACCCTTGGTTACATCGCAGGTACAAAGTGGGATCAAGTTTTGTTAGCTTCAGAATAAAGAGTATTCAAGCATCACGGACCACAACGCAAGATATAATAGTATAATGCATCAAGATATAACGACATTCTTCATGTAGCTACTCGGTACAATACAGCAATACACAGTAAAATTCACAACATTCCTGCAAGGTAGGGTGTAATACTGCTAAATAGAGAATTTTTTAGCAAAATGTAGCAAAATATTGCAAAATACAGAATTACATTGTTAGTTTCGATTTGGGGATCTAAGTGAACTACCCTTGCTCCGGGAGAATGGATAATGGTATCATGGTAGACTACATAACCCCGAGCTTCGTACTTTTTCCCTCCAGGTCCAAACTTCTCCTGTTCATATGGAAATGTTGCGAATTTCAAAAACACATGAACCCATATTAACCCATGTAGGCTAACCGAGGGTTCATAAATTTTCACAGAGAATATTGTGGGTTTATTACAGCGGCTACAGGACGGACACCGAGCCGTTCAGGTCTCAACGAGTGTTTTTAGACCCCATTCATTTCTATCTTTCGCGCATTCGTCGCAACTCGCATAAACAAACTGTCACGCAAACCAAACACTCTTTCCTAGCGCCATGCTGGAATCTGGATGCGCTCACAGTGGTGGCCCACCGAATCTATCCCAGCTTAGCGTAGTGCAACTATTAATAGTGATACTTCTTTAAAAACTGTAAAATCCGAGATAGAGCCAAGCCGGACGGAACGCGGGAACAACGGACGTAAATCGGAAGTGTTCTTGGTAAGCCGGAATGTGTGGTCATCGTACCTATGAAGCTTCGAACAATTATTTATTTAGCCGTTTCTTTAATTCCTCGACCATACAATTTTTTGCCGTGTACTCTACGCGATATAGAAAAGCGATATCTACAACGTTTTATGTATTATGCTTCATTAATTTTCATTAAACGTCATCTGTCTCTGAGATAGAGAATTTAATTCAACCATGCAACGATATTTCCGTTTTCTCTCGCCCTTGTTGTAACACGACCTTTCTGTAATATTCTTGTTTACCGCCGAGATATTGCACTATTTACGTAAACGAAACGTTCACAGCAGTAGACGGAATCGTGACGAGTGAAACACGCGTCGTGCAATAGTTTACAGACCTAACCCTGTCGTTACGAGGTGTTTAAACATTATTCACGTTGACATGCATCTAGTAATTAAAATCCGTCGAATAAAAATATTTTGAGTAGCTCTTGCGAGTGCATCAACTTTATTTAAAAAATTTAATTAAACCAGAATATAATACAGAAAATAACGTTTGGAATGTTTTCCTTCGTAATACAAACTCACTTTGAATTCGCGATACTTCTCAATCATTTCTGTTAAATCTCACAGTTTCGTACAAATATTTTGATCATTTCACCGTGATATTTACACGAACCGATGCTTTTATTTCTCTGTGAATTTACCATCAATGAAAATTTAAACATTCGCATTGTTTCGCGTGAAGAACATTGCGCGAAACGTGTTGTAACTTACGAACGGCTGATAGTACTGATTTATAAGCAAAACAAGTGGTATCGGTACGCTGAGACCGCAAGTAGAATGTGCCTATAAATAAGCCAGGCGCAGACCAGACGCAGATTACGTTCAAGAGTTGTGAGTTATTCAGCTGCGATTTTTAACTTTCAAGATCAAGTTCTCACGGTGCAACGGAAACAGGTACTACACCGAAATTACCGTGCACCATCTTATCCGTCTGTTGCAATAAATTTTCAACCGATAAGCCGTATTCTCGCATCAATTCATCTACCAAAAATAATATCGAGCATCATAATTAAGTTTACAACTTTCGATGGTCTACGTTGAGTGTAAAAAATTTACTTAAACGAATATCAATTTAAAAAAGTAGGACCGAAGGAAAGTATCGTTTCTGATCAATATTTATGAGCATAATAAATGTTGCGTTGAATTAAGAAATCGATGAAGTAACTCAAAGTAAAGGAGACTGAATTAATGGGGAGAAATCATCAGAGCAAGATAAATTACGGACTTCTGTCGTTAACAAAGAAACTGTGGTCGTTAATTTACGAGAATGAGGGAGGTGATTCGGTGGGGAAAGTAAGCCAGTTGAACTGTAGTGGTTCATTGGTGATCAGGGTTCGTGAAAATTACAGCTTTGCTGACACTAGAAAGATAACTAGCCCGTGAACTGGCCAATTAAGCCCGTTTCTCGATTTAATTGCCATATCCATCGATGGTTCAATATTCAACCAAACCGATCTTCTGTCAAATTTCTTATTTCACCGCGGATAATTGATTTTCGCAAGTTAAATTACTGAAAACGTCTTTAATCTCTTAATTGCTGTCTCATGACGTTACATCTTGAGGTTATCCGAAAGATTCAGTCTAACCGTCCACCTAAGAACATGAAAGGCAAGAGAATCCTTTTGATTCTAAATGGGGATCAGCCTGCCGTCTTGTCACGGCTACGTCACGTTACTTTCCTTAATTTGATGTTGCAGCTCGAGTTCTGAAAGCTGCGCTTTTACTACTGTTAAAGCATTTCAAATTGAAACGCTTTCAGAAAAGTGCAAGAGGCACGTTTATATTTCCTCAAAAGTTATCCTCAATTTGGGTTCAACGTTCCGACAATTTTACACTTTACCGTCGACTGTTCACTATTTTCGTTAAGTGCACGTGTAAAATGTACACGTTATAAATATTCTTTGAATAGAATTGTTCGTAGCCGTAAGTGTGAGAGAAGCTATGGTTTTAAATAAATTAAATAGTAATATTTCTCAGACGCTTCTCCAGTGTCGATATCAGCGTCGAGTACGACTTGCCAGTGACATTATAGTTCAATTACTTGGTCTACTTGCAACACTCACACAGTGCCTCGATTGAGAGAGCCTAATAGAAATTTCATAAACGAGTCTCTTACTACCCCGATATATCCGTGTCTGTCGAGTGCTATGAATACGAGTCAATACTTTCACCTCGGGTTATTAACCCTCGAGCAGCGAGGAACCTTACATGCCTGGTCTTTGTACACAAACTGATCAACCGCCTGATTAGTTTCTCCGCCATTTTGGAATTACTTTATTTTGCAAAACGAATAAAAATTAAACGATCAATAAATTAATATAGCTAATAAGAAAGAGCTTTTCAAAAGCTACAAAATAACATATAACACTTGCATATAAAATAACTTCAATGACTTCGGAAAATTGTGCAAACTGAAGCAACGTAAAAAACGCACGAACTTTTGGTTCACTTTAATATAATAATTGCGATACAGATACAGTGTCTGCGAATGACTAGAATAACTTACAGAGATAGAAACAGGAAAACGGCCTATAGGAAGATTTCATACTTTCGAAATGGTCGTTAACCGAATGCACGAAACAAATCCTACCCTTAAGCCTGGCCTCGATCACTTTTCAAATGCCCCAAATTCGTTCTGAAGCTTCTTCGAATCCGAACCCTTACTGGTCTCGAGGCATAAGACACAGGATGCCTATTTCATCATCGATCGATTCCAAAGGACACGATCAATTTTATCGAATTCACCCTTGTCAGTTTCTTAACATATTAGGCGTCCTATTTATCACGAACACTTGAATTCCTTTATTCGAAGGACTCGCTACTACTACTCGCACGAATACCGTTTTGCATGCGTTCAATGAACTATCGAATGGCATTTCTGATTATCCCCCAGTTGACATTACAACATGCGCTAGTAATACGTTCTCGCATATTGCCTGACATTGTAGGAATATCGCTGTACATTCTTGGTTTTAAAGTTCCACGTAGAACGCAATTAAGCGATGATAAATCAGACGACTGTTTGCACCTAGTTCGATCCTAAGATCGGCGTGCACGCTGTCTAATACTTTGTCGTCTCGTGGATTTCGCTTGGAAGACCCTGTACACAGTTAAATCAATTATGTTAATAAATTTTCGACATAGCATAAGAGGGGTGTCCCGCGATAAGGAGGCCATTTCTTTATGGTTTTGAGATTAGAACATAATCACGGATTTGTTTAGCCATTTCCTGTTTAAATTTCCGACGAAACTATTTTGGAAGTTACCACAACGAAGTTCTCGATGAAGTAAAACGAGAAACGGTTGTGAATTTATGGGACTTTAATATCCGCTGACGAATTCGCAATTCCATAGTACCGCTCAATTTGCCGACAACTCATTTACGAATTGTTTGCGACTGTTTCCATTATAGCACCGTCTGCTACTTCATCAACGGCAGTGTTACTCCTTTTAGGTTTACGCGGATAAATGCTGGCTGTCGCGTAAAACGAGTTCGCGAAATGTTGCACGAGAAAGACGAGAAATTTTTATTGTGTATAGTATTTGTATCGTTGATTTTTATCGAATCAAAAATATTTTGATTGCGTAATTGTAAAGTAGAAAACAATGGATAACAAAACGACTGATCGAACAGAGCGGTAAACAGAGCCGTGGGATTCCGTTCGCTCGGTCCCAGAAGAAGCAAAACACCTTAAACGGTGAGAAAGTAGCGAGAAATAAGTAGGGGAAGCTTTATTTCGCAAGCGTGATTCCAGTCTTTCTGGACCTGATACGAAGAAAGCCTAGAGAATCGATCGTTGTCGCTCTCGTCATCGAGCAAGCCTTATTCGCAGCACCACCCCTTAAGACGTTGGCGCCTTCGTTGAAATGGAGACGGTGGCGAGAAGGAGGGTTGGAGGAAGTGAGAAAAATCGAAAAGGGGTGAAGTAACGACTCGAATAACAGAAGAAAAAGGACAGTGGTATACATGTTGCCTGCGACGGTTAAGAACCTCCAGCGCTGTCCGACTTTTGCTTTAAAGAGTTAAACGTGAAAGAGGTTAATTTACGGAATCTTTGATAGTTATACGTATCGAACAAAAACTGTGACTTTTTATTGAAAAGACTCTTCGAAGAATTTTTCGAAGAACACATATCGCCCCCATATTGCAACCAATACGATTGCGAGGAATCGTTCAGACGCAACTACCAATTAAAATATGGAAATTCCAGCCGCAATTTCGCCCCAGAACTCCGAGTGCCGCTCGCGATGAGTTACGAAGTCATCAATCAAGATGGAAGGGTGTCTACGGTCAAGGGTGAAATTGTAAGACGCAGCAACTGCTATCAGACACGCCTATCAAATCAACGGAATCCTATTCCCCTCGAGCTTATCGCACCCTATAAACCACTAGAACAGACCGAAAAGGCGCGACCCGTTAGATTTACCAAATAGATACTTTACAAGCGATCTTTCGTACAGCAGCAGAATTCGCGTCGAATGAAAATAGTCGCGTTAAACGTAGTATTTCGCGTTACAAATAAACGTAGTGTATGGTTTCAACAGAAATCCAGTGGCTCTTCGAAACTAAGGATTCGATCAGAGTCATTCAATTTGCTATCGAGGTTGTCCCTAAGAAATATTATTAGAACATTTACGTTGGCCGTATATAAGCGTCTGTAGAAGAGGGGCGGGCTATCTCCTAATACGCCAAGCCGTAAAAATTGCCTCTGAGCGATGTTCGTGATATTAGAGGTATCAGACTTATCGTCCATAAAAATAGGTTATCACGATGGCGATACTATCAATCATTAGCTCATGTGATACGATACCTTGACCAATGGCGGAATAAGCTTGTCCGAAAATTCTTATCGCTGAATCTAAATTTCATTCAGGGGCAATCTCCCCAATTCCATGCTATACATCTGAAACTTTGCCACGCGAACCATAACGCACCGATATCTCTCCTATCTGTTACACTAATTACATCAACGCTGCCCACAGAATTGGAATATGTAAAAATATGAAAATAATAGCGTTACGCAATTACCGTGTAATGGGAATGTTCGTTAATGCGAACGATGGATGATGTATTTATATAATTAAAGTTACCGGTACTAAAATATTCATGGAAGAACGCTGCTCTCGCGAATGTTACAAATTTCATCTTCCAAGGTAAAAGCCGCGAGCTCGAAGCACTCGAGCGTTAGGAGGGATTCGAAGCAATAACTCGATTCGCTTTCTTTACGGTTGTGTTTTTAATTTCGGAAGGTAATGTCATTATCCGCTTTCCGAGGTAGACAGATACCCCGATAGCGACACAAAAGACGCAATTAGGATCCTGAAATTCTTTGTCTCGTAAACGAATCGACCAAATAAAGTTGTTTATAATCCGTTTACGTGTTCTCGTCTACAATTCCAGGAAAAACCGATTCCTATGAAATGTTTAAAAGAAAAGACTGTTCGATTCGCAATGCTCCGATAACTGTACTACAATCTCTTTTGTTAAAAATATTTCAGTTCTCTGAAACGGCTAAATAATGTCGCCAACCGACCAACATCTACATCAAATATAGCAACGGTGTATTTCTTCCGTATCAGAGGATTTAACACGCGGAAAACGTAAATCCGCTACTCGGGGAAAAAACAGATCGTCGCTGTCTCAAACAGACCTTGAAAGAATTGAACAATGTCGCAAAAAGCCACATCCATCATAATTATCTTGAAACAAGCAAAACCGCTGCATTACCACGGAAACAGGACAGCTAACTTAACAGAAGCAGTTTCTCGTTCACGGAGCCTCTAAAGAACCTCCGCAGAACCCAACACACCTTTCATTGAAAAATTACCGTCACGTTTGCTATTGGAGGACTGCACGATCCAGGGAAGGTAGAACCGCTACACAGGGTAATACGAAGCTGTCAAGCTAATCGCGAAACCTCTCAGGTATCAGTTGAAAATTTTCCCGCTTTAAACAGTCAGAACTTCTAACCAAACGGAATTCCTGTTGGTTCGTTCCTGCCTCTCGATATAACTCTACATCGCGAAACGAAACGCGCTACTTCCTATGTCAATATTCCTCCAACTACTCACCGAATTTCTCAGAAATCTCCAACGCTCTACGAACTTTCACGATTTCCATGGAAACCAATTCTGAGATACATGAAAATCAAAAGTATGAGGGTACATACATCCCAATAAATATTCGTACCCTCTTAATTAAATAATATGATAGTTTTGATACTACCAAATGAATTTTTGGTACACTTGGAAACGTTAAACCCACCATTTAATTTAAACAAATTTCTTCGATATACATAAAAGGTACGAGTATTTACAAGAACTGACTGTACGTACACGCGCGTATAGAGAATTTTGTATCAAAGTTGTGCTGGATGCCAGAGCTCTCCGATAAACTACTCCCGAAGCACCCACGGAAATGTTGGAATGAAATTGTATCCGACGAAGATCTCTCCCCTCTGTTACATTCAGCCGAGACAGTGGCGGAACATTTCCAAAAAGAATTGAACGAGCTCGCAAAAAAGCAACAGAAATCCTTCATAATTATCGCGAAACAAGGAAAATAGCTGCATTACCGTGGAAGCAAGGACCGCCCAACGGCTCCGAACTGGACAAAGGCAGCATCTCCTTTCCAAGAACGCTAAAGAACCCCTGCAAAACCTCCGACAAATGCGCGGCCCGTGTTAGCTCGGCCAAAAGGTGTGCATCCCTCGGAGGAAGCGCAAGTGAAGTAGATAACCGGGAACGGAGGCACCGAAAAAATCGGTGCTCCCGCGTAACCCGAAAAACCGCGTCCCCTTTCAAGCCCGCAGCAACGTGCACACCGTTCTGTCGTCGTAGAAACTACCCCTACGCATACGCACTCGAGGCTCTGCGCGCGCCTCTCGTCTCCCCGCCCTTGCACAGTCATCCCCACACCATCCCTTCGCAGTCACCGTCTTTCGACAAAAACGGCGACTTCGTTCGAGGTCAGTTCAGTCCGCGCACGAGTCGAGAGAACCCGAGCCCTCGTCCCGAAACCATCGTTGGGACATTCGTAGTCGTGACACGAAACGGATAACGATGACCTTCTGGTCGTGTCGGTTGATGCCACGATGAGACGGTAACCGAGTCTCCACGTAAACGAGGTAACGAACGCGTACAGATTCGCGTGGTGATCGTACGTTAATAGTAGCTAGCCGGCTTCGTCGAAGCGGAAACAGCTAGTGTCCATTGTGCCAGTCAGCGGTGCACCTCGATCAGCGCCATCGCCGCCGCCAGCATGGAGGATGCGGAAGCATAGTGTCGTTGAGATGCCGCCAAGGAGTACCGAGACATGAAGAGAACGCGACCGAGGGTAAGTAGGCTTTGCACTCACTTCCTCCTGACGGTATCGCTCGCGTCCTGACGGGATTCCCTGCCCCGAGGGATCCTCGACCGCCGAAGTCTTGGCCAGAGCGTTTCGTTCCCGTGTTTTCGTGGGACGATTGCTTCGCGATCGTTCGAAGGGCTCCTCGAGGGTCTCGAGTGCCCCGAGTCCGAAGTTTGGAGTCGGAAGTTAGCCCAAGGGGGAGGAATTTCTGTACGCTGGAATTCCTCCTCGATCGGGTGCACCTTTGACGCTGGAACCTCTTGTGTAGCAGAGGTTAACGAGGACTCCCCTCGCGAGATTGTCTGTGATACGTTGGAGCGATGTCTCGTCTTTGCGCGAAAGTTTGCATCGATGCTACAGCGATAAGCCACTCGATGGAAGGTGGCTTACCCCGATACCAGGGGATGAACTATTTTTAGTGTCCCTCCATTTCGCCATTACTTTCTCGACCTGTCGAACGGATACTTAGCCGAACGGCGCCTCTAAAACCCCGCGGAAAGAACAGAATGCCGGGAGGGGAGTCGATCATTGCCCGTACCCCTATCAATCTTCCAGCAAAGTACTGGTTCGATGCACCTGGTCGTCGCAACTTCCACCCGTTCTCTTACCGTAGACTGTACCTACTTTCTTCCGACGCTCGCATAAGGTATTTTCGTTCATTGATTTATCGGATTCACCAGTTTCTCGCTTTCTCGCTCAATTGCTTCCCCTCCCCCCCTCCCCCCGTGGCCACCCTCTTCCCGCGAGGCTTGTTGGTTCGATTTCGTTGCTTCGACAGGCTGCTCCTGGCTACTTTCTCTTCTACTTTTTTCTTCTTCTTCTTCTTCTTTTTTTTTTTTTATCAATCCTTCGTTCCCTTTTTTTCCTTTCTCGAGTCTTTCGACGGAAGAATCGCGGTTGGAATGTCGCTGGGCGTACCGACTGCTTATCGAGGTTTCGTGCACACAGACTATCGATTCCCGCGACAAGGGGTCGACTGCTACTGCCGCCGCTCAGGCTTACTTGTAAACCAGCTAGCGCGAGCTGCTAGAACACTTTGGGACTCGTGACAGCACGCGCGCACTGTCATGGTGGTCAACAACCTTTTCGAATGATGTCAACCTTCCCCACCCGGTGTCGTCGGGGCCAAGGAAGTCGTTTTCGAGGGGGGTCCGAGGAGTGTTCTCGAGGGTGGCCGTCGCGAGCAACACGGTTTCGCGAGCACGGTCGTGATTTTGCTGATCGATGTTAGGCAGTTCGAACAGTCGGCGATGCGCTATTTCAGGGTGGATCGTTTTCGGGAGAATTCTTGCCGGCTTTATGGTTATCGCCGAGTTTACAGAGTTTGAGAATTTACCGGTAGGATTCGAGTAATTTTACTGCTCGAACTTTGAGATCGGCGGTTGTTAACGTTTTAGTTAACGCTCTCGATTATTCCGGCCCGAATCGTTTAATTCGACGAGAACCAGATTACCACTGTTACAATTGCCTCCCTTCCTGAGTAGTACCGCAATTCCCTTCCTTCCTGCATGGGCACTACGTTTCCCTTGTTTCCTGCGTGCTGTTAGGCTGCTGCCACCTGAACGTGTACTTTCGGAATACGTAATTGTAGTTTGCTAAACGTAGTCGGTCGATTACAACTAATGTCAACGATTGTTTCTTCTTTTACGATTGGCGAGAATGCGAAACTACAGAAATGTAGTTTCCATTTTCGGATCGCCAGAACAGGTTTTAATACAAAAAAAAAAGATAGTTTGAAAATAACATTATTTTCTGGAACACCCGGCTGCCGTTAGTTCTGATACATACAACTCTACTTATACTTCGTTTAATAGTATCGCCGTAGCCTTCATTCTACTACACTTTTCTTGATGCTTTTACTTTATCCTCATTTCATTGGCACGTTCTCTACCTCATCTATTATTTGCCATTATTGGCTGATTTTACATTTCCGTTTCATTTTTATAGTTTCAATTGCGTACCATGGCATAGATTATTGTAGCAATCGAATCGTGTCAGTTTTCGAGCAAATTTCATTTGATTTTACATTCTTTTAAAGCCTCGCGTACCCTCGGACATTATTCCAAAACTTTAAATGCTTCAAAGTGCCGAGATACGTCGTCATTGTCATTACTGTTACATTTCATTCCATTATTCGACGTACGCGCGATATCGCGTCATTAAGACGCTAACGTGAACGAATTCACTGTTAAATTTATAGTGTATTGTGTACACACATACTGGGTTTGTACATACGCTCTATGTCAACGTAGGACGGTCGAGTAACAGAGTGTTTGAGGAGTAAAGTATGCAGGCAGGAGAGATTACATTGTACACGAATTTCTTCGTGTGTGCTTAATAAAGACAATTAATAATAATAATGAACATCATAATAGGAATAGTAATAAATAATTTTAGTAGTACGAGATGGCAGAAGAAAGGATTAACGCCCGTTACGGGAAATTCGAGAGAACGTTTCATAAATTAATGTTATAATTAGTTAATACGATATAGTCGGTGCAGTATTAACGGTGAGCACTTTAACGCAACTTTAACTTCCCCCTTTTGTGGCCAGTAGAAACCCAGTACGAAAGCACAGGTACCTTCGTAATTAACATTATTTGCATTTCAACCAAAGTAGACGTTAGTTTTCACTTATTCGTAAACGAATGGGTAGAGTTAATATAATTGCTGCTCTCAAAGTGTTTCCTTCCTTTGAACTCGACACTCGTTGAACCGACAAAGAAATACGTACGCGTAAATACTTATTTTTATGCGGCCGATTGTGTCTCTGAAAAAGCTTCAAAGTGTTTCCAATTTGCGAGTTCCGACGGTTTAATCATTGGCGAAGTATATCCTACGATATACATTTCATCTGGAAAATTATGGGAGCAATTAGAATGTTTCAAGATTGCCGCGCGCATTCGTTAATAAAATTTATCGATGAACGTGAGCGCAGAATACAGTAACGAATCGAAATGTATATTTAATTAAATTTATTAACTTGATCATAGCGCGGGAGTGATGTATGTTAATTGTTATATTTATCTCATTTACATTCACACCAAGTACATATTAATATCAACTTCTATTAATCGAACGCGTACTAATTAATATTCGCGAATGAATTCCTATGAAAATGCCGGTAACTTTGATTTAATATTAGAAAGATGAAAGAATTTGCAAAGAAAACGCAGAGAAACGAAAGAACAGGTATCGTTGACGATGGCAGAAGAAAAAACGTTTCCGAGTGGTGAACGATCTACGTTCAGCGCTCAACCGAAAATGGTCTACTAAGAAACGGAAGTCAGGGATGGCGGTTGTAAACATTTTTTTTCTGCTCCCTTTTGTTGCATGAATCTGAATAGATGCAGGAATATCCAGTCTCATTTTTTTCGTAGTTATTGATGTTCTACCGTGATATCGAACCCTCTGCAAAGCAGCTTGACAAGAGTTATTCTTCTATCGCAAGTCTGTTCGTCGTAATTTATGATCGTCGTTACTGCATTCTCATTATAGTTTATAAGGTAAACAATTTCTCTTTCTTCTATATCCTCGAGAAAATTAAGATTTTCAGAACGCGTCTGCGGTTGAGTTTTGATTTCGCGACCATGTCTGACCAATAACCGTTATTTCTACTTGCGTTGACGCTGCGAACGTTGACGATAACGTCAACTGTTTTAATTGGTGGTAACTAGGTAGAAGATAGTAGATAGCATTAAAGATTTAGTATTTAATACCACATTACCGTCAAATATCCCCCAGAAATTGTTTATTCGTCACAGCTTGTGACTCAAAGGTATCAACGCAAATAGAAACAGCGAGTATTGATCAGACACGTTCGACGATACTCATAAAAAATGATTTCCTTGAAAGCACGCTGAAAATTTTCGTGAAATATCTTCCACCTTTTAGATTATTAATTACACCTTGTCACTCCTCAGTTTTCTTTTAAACTGAGAAAATTTGCGTAGCAATTATTTAAGCACTCGGCGTTACGCCGAGTTTTTTGCTTGTTAGCGTATGATAAAAGTTTCAGAAAAATTCTTGCGAAGAGGAAAATTACTCAACGGTCACGTGTTACCGCGTCAGTCTTCGCAGCGTTAAGCTTTCCTTTTTTTGTTACTTTATCTACGCGTTGCGACGTAATGCTGCTGCCCTTGGCGCAATGCCACGACAATATCGCATGCCATACATTATCACTTTCAGAGCCATTTGTTGTACTAATTACACAGATGCGCATATTTTTTATGTCCTTTGGTGGGCATTCATTGCTGCGATCTACCGTTCGTTGTCTTTCACCCACAAGTTCCACCTTCTCTCGATAATATTATATTTTCAGTTGTGTAGTTGTCTAAAAAAAATCTGTTGCTATTCATTTTTAAAAGTGACATTTATATACGTCAAAATGTATTTATTCGTGTGTTTTTATCGTTCGCGATAGAGACAAATGTTTGGCACGATCGTGAAATATTGCGGTGACTGTTGGTAGCCCGTACTCTTTCATTCCTCTATTTGATTAATGAAGTACGTCCCTTACTGCATGGAACGTGATAGCTCTCTGTTTACGTTCGCATCTTCGTACATTGAACGACATTCGTGTCATTAGAAGTCCCCGTCATTTTACTCGTCGGTCTATGCATAGTGCTACAGCCTATTATTATAATTCTCCTGTGTTTCGGAACACGCGAATGCTCCTGTATATCTCGCAAACAACGAAGCATGCATTTTGTGATTCACGTCGAGAAGATCATTCGTTGAGTTTAATAGCTTACCGATGAATGAACAAAGTCATCCCTGCTGTGCCCTTACTTGTCTCCATTTCAAGCAAAGCGTAGCCCCGGTTAACAAACACTGTTCAACATCGAATCCGCTCGTAACTACACGCGTGTACGGCGGACGCATGCATGCGAGCACACGTGGATATCTGTTCGTGACGTCATGGATGGTGAACCAACGTAGAATTGAATCGCACCACCACTTTGCTAGTGTATTTCGGTGTTCGT